TACAAAGTCTCCCAAAAATTGTTAAAACGAAGCACGAAAGGTATCGATATAATATCAACAAAAATACCTGTAATTCCAAAATACACAACAGAGTGCAATTATTGTAAATAGCAACAAACTTTTTCGAGCATCGTGTAGCTAAACAATCTTCTCGAAACGCTGATCAAATCGTCAAACAAAAATACCCAAAATTCCAAAACATTGCAAAATAATAACCCTCTCGGGCACCATGCAACCAAGTAATCTTCTCAAAACACTGATCGAATTACTCCAACTATCCAGCAAAATCTCCAAAAGCCATAAGCTTGAAATTTCCGAAAAAGAAATCTGTTGAAAAAAAGAACGAACTATTCGACGTCGACTTTTGCGAACCGCACGAACGCCCGAGTTTACACTAATGCTTTTTTCAATCGACCCATCTTCCGATAACAGTGAACGATACCCCACGTTTGATCGGCGAATATTCGCTCGATCCATTGTATCGTTTACATTTCAAACTCGACTCTCGCTTTCTGATTTAACCAAAGACAAAACATTCGTTTCATCGCGCGGAACGCGATTCATAAAGCTTTATTCCTGAGAACTTCCGTCACATTCAAGAGCTCGTAGCTAGTTCGAGTGCAGCTCGATGCAACGATCCGCGTGTACTGCCAGCCGATCGTTTCAATTCTCTTTGTCGGTTGTGAAGAAGGTTTCGTGTGTAATGTGACTGGAAACCGAGTTTATGGGACAGCAAAAGACATTACGATTTGTTTGAACTTGCAAATTGGCCAAGTATTTCATTTCTGAAGTTTGAAATACACGGTGGTTTCTTGCGATAATGGTTTTATTAACGATATTAAATTTGGTCGATTTGATTATCGATAAAATCCAATTCATTGAGTATTACTATTATTTATTTTCAGAAGAAAATTTTTTATAGCTCATACACCTTTCGTTTATTTATATTTGTATTGAAGCTGTATCATAACTCACATCATGTCACTTCCATAGAAGTAGAAAATATTGCAATTTATTTGAAGTTGCTCAATCTTCGATATCAACAAGTAAGTAAATTTTTTAATATTTTTCAATATCTGTATTTACTTGTAATGGGATAACTCATAGTTTTTGTATTTAAATATCACTGAGAAACTTGTTTCAGGTTCAAATTTTCATTCCCAGAGAAGAAAACGAGTAGAATAAAAATTGCATAATTTCAAAGACATGTGTTGAATAAAACAACGCTGCAAAAAATCTTCATATTTTCATTAAAAATAAGATGACAAAAATTCTTTTTAATTTTCAAAATGTTCCTTATAAAATTATTTCCAATATTTGTTTGACCAATGCCTGTCTAAAAATAATGATATTAATGCAAACTAATGTTAAACGAAATATTATTAAGAATACTCATTATGCGTATAAACGATACAAATAATACGTTACTTCGTTAAAAAAGAATTCACAAACCGAACTGTAAACGCCATTTCAATTTCAAAAAACGCCTACCTTTTCGAATGGTAGCTTCATGGTGTAAAAAGAAAAAAGAGTGATATTCGCGTTTGTAAACAGTGAAAACACAAACTCTCGAGAATCGCGCTGTTCAAACTTGACTCAGGCTGGTCGAAAGCTCAAATGCCTTTTCCGCGTTGAATATCGCGTTTCGAAGGTCCTCGAGATCGACCGGTTTTTCCATTCGCCTGTAATTGCCGGAAGCCATACGGAACCGATTATCGTTGCCGGCTATACGAACGAAAATAGCCGAAAACCGCGATTTTATCAGGAGACCACGAAATCCCATTTAATCGGTTCAACCATTTCGACCGCTTTCAATCGGCGTCCTTAATTGTAAACCGCAGCGGCAGCCGATCAAAATGCGATTGTAAACTTCAACGTTCGCGCGTTTTTGCGCCGCTTTCGAGTGCTCGTGGTAATCGGAAACTCGATCTTTCTTCAATCATTTCAATCGTCTCGGGAATGAGAGAGGGAAAAAAGCAACAAAACGTGAGTTCATGAACTTTCAACTGTGAGAAGGGACTGAAAGACATTAATTCGTGGGAAAAGGGAAATTAATTCCTATTGATGAAGCTTCGACAGATTAGATGCAAAACAATTAGTACTAATCTATTATTAACTATTGTATGTTTCAATCGTCTCGAAAATGACAGAGAAAAAAAAACAAAAAATATGCGTTTAAAAATTTTAAACTATGAAAAAACTGAAAGAAATTAATTTACAGAAAAGATAAAATTAATTCCTCTTGATGAAAGCTTCGAGAGATCAAATGCAAAATAATTATTATTAGTGTATTACTAATTACTACATTTAAATAATAACAACAATCTTGCAACACAATTTCTTGGCTCATACACAAATGGAACATCACGAGAAACAATAACAAATTTCAACAAATGAAATTCAGGAAAAGTAGCTGCAAATACTTTCATTAAATTTAACGAGAAAGATACGGTTCGATGGCAGAGTGGACTGAGTGGATCTTCTCAAAGGGCGTTGCTTCCGGTTGGTGAACAACGGTGACGCAAGGCCGCATAAAATGGCGGAGAGAAAGTCACGGCAAGGACCGCCGGAAACTGCATTTTCTTCGACATTCCCGGCACGAGCGTGCGGTATTACGACTTAACGAGATAAGAGGATTTCGTGGAAGCGTTCAACGTTTCCTTCCGCGTTCCTCGACCTGCCATGTTGGTGATGCAAGGGCACGCCATTGGAAAAAATCGCGGATCGCTAAATAGACGAATATCAGTGGTCGCGGAGAAACATGGCCAAAGACCGCGGCGTCACGCGACTCATAAGACGATTAAGGTGGCGAACGAAGCATTACATCTTGTGTAATCGAATTAGAACACGCTGAAAACGCGAACAAGAAGTTTCCTCGGTGTTCCTCTCACATTCCGTTGTGAAAATGAGGTTGACGAGCAGGAAAGTTGTACTATTGTACGAGATGGAATGTGTTGATTCATTGGAATGTGAACCATTTTCAACACTATAAACCCATGTGTATGAGTTTTGAAAAATTGTTCAACATGCATCGTCAACTCATTTATGTGCAACTATTCAATGTGCACTATGAACCCGTTTACGTGTCTATGTGCAACTACTCAATGCACATTGTAAACACGTATGAGTTTCCCTTGCATATTTGTTGACAAATACAGTTACTCCTTTGATGTTGATAACACGAACAATTTTTTTTAACAATAATCAGTAATTTTGTTAGCTACTTTGTTTAGTCGTAATAAGTTCTGTTATATATCCTGCAATTACCTTAAAAATTTCTAAATACGTAAAGAAAACCACAAAATTATTCAGTCCAACGCACATTTCATTCTAATATGCTAGCAGTGTATATTTTAGTGCCAAAAGGGTTAATTTTATAAACAAATTGTAAGTTACTTTGAGTAGAATAAAAAAAATGGGTTGATAAATGAGGAAAGTTAACTTTGACGTAACTTTTGAAATTAAAAATATTTACTCTTTTATTTCAATTTTATAATTTTCAAGAGGTAAGATTCTAATTCGTCCAATTTATAATTGAATCCTCTCTTTAATATCCAGCAACATTGAACGACTGAATCTATACGAACATCTGTCAATTTTCAAGATAAGCTTATTTCCATAATTGTCGGAAACTATTTATTAAAAATTTCAATTACTGAAAATTTTCAAATTTTCGAAAAATCTCTCCGAAACATTGTAAATGTATTAAGTACCGACTGCATCTTTGATTAACCCTTTGATAAAAACGCTTCCAACGAAGTCAAGTGAGAAATTTCACAGCACCCTTCATCGCGTGACACTTTGTAATCAATTTTAATTAACACCGCCACGGTTTTTATCGTCAATGACCAGTTTCCTGTTTTCGATGTTCCCGGATATTTCCATATAAACATCGTCTTGCGCTAATTAGCCAGAACAAAAATTAATCACTGAATGGAATAAAATTTCCAAGGCTCAGCTCGAAAACGTTTATAATTAATTACAACAGCTCGATCGATACTTGATGCTCGAACGCGATTCACTTGGCTGAAAATGATCGGCGTATATTTTTTGAACATTTCACGGATAATTAATATGGACAGCCATGATGAAATCGCGGGAATTAAATATTCGCGAAAACATTTTCATCTTGCTGGGTTCAATAATATTTTAATCAATTTGTAAATGCGCTTATAAAAGATTTTTCCGACTGAATTGGCCATAATGTTAATGCAAAATTTCATTCTCTTTTGGTACTTTAACTTATGTACAATTAAAGAATTAGCATGGAAATTAGTCAAGGCATATGAAACATGACCAGAAATTAACTCTCCAATGTCTTGTTCTCCACGAAACACAACACCTCAGAACTTTTCAACAAAGAAACTCCAAATAATTCAATTACTTCCCTGCTGCACAAAAATTGACTAATAATTGTCCATTTTCGCTAAAAATCATTTCACACAAAATTCACAAGAACAACAATACCGAAATCCTCGGAATATCCCACAGAATTCATTTCCTATAATACAATATTTTCACATTCCCATTCATAAGTATTAGGTCACTTACTGAATGCGAAGCAAACCTAGAGTCATTACAAAATCACGAAAATCCTAAAAAATGTTATTCAGTCCGAAATTTCTGGTACTAGCTTTGCTAAAAATGTGCATTTTAAATCACACAATACTTTCTGTACAGTGTTCGCATCAAACCTAAAATCCCTCGACAATTCTCATATAACAAACAAATACATCCCGCATGAACCACGTTACCCCTTGAAATACTATCTTCTCTATTATCGATGTTCTTAAAACATGTTCCAGCTAAAACGTCAGTCTCCATCCCACACATTCCCAGGAGTGAGCTTTTTTTGAGCCGCGGAAAAGCATTGGTGTGTCAACGATAGAGAGGAAAAATAAAAGAAACCTCGGCTGTCCTGGAAGAAATGACTTTTCCATGGACAGAGCAGATGTTTCACTGAGATCGTGGAACTGGGGCCGGAACCAGCGTTGACCAGGCTAAAACGTTCTACGTGTATATTGTGCAAGCTCACCAGTTTCGGCCGCTGCTTGGAGCAACATCTGCTGATGGTGATGTTGCCTGGTCGAGGACCTGTGGTAGTGAACGCTGTTCAGCACGATGTTACTGGACGTCCTGCTGAGCGCCTTCCTCTGCCTGACCGCTTCCTTGTAGATCTTACAGTACATCACTATCATCACCAGGCCAGGGATCCAGAAGGAGACGCACGAGCTGATCACCGCATATGGCCGGTTCACCACAAAGGAGCAGACCTGCAAAGCCAGGGACACGCTGCATCACTTCTCTTTGTCCTCTTGCAATTTTACCCCCTGATCGATACGCGATTTCGCCCCAACTACGGCGGACAAAGGACCGCTTTAAGGGATGGGAGGATCCTTGGTTAACTGGAGGATGAATGGAGGCTGGAAGAGATTTTGTAGAAAAGTTGATACACTATAGTATAGTCAGAAATTTTCATTCTGAAATTGGGAAAAGACGAGAGATAGGTGATGAGAGGAAATATGAACAATTGTTCAGAAGTTCAATTTTGTGTTGCTGTTCAACTTTTGAAATTTTGCGGATCTGTGAAAACAAACTATGCAATAAAAACTTTGGAGTTCCATAATCTGTATTGTTTCTGTATTATCGACATTGTTTCAATACGTAATATTTACACTTTTTGCCTATACATGAAAACTAATTTATTATTCTGCTATATTTAATAAGCTGCTTAAGATATTTCACGAATACAGAATATGAAATCACCATTCATGGAAACTTTTGAATATTAATTTGCAAAAATTTATTTCATTTTTCATATACAACCACTTGCAGTCTCCACTGCTTAATAATAAATACTGCTACTTTATGCACAGTCACAAAACAATTCCCTAAATCTGCATTTTAATAAATCTCATAAATATTATTCTTTCTGCTAATTAATAATAAATTGATTGTGCGACACAGGTGACACAAGTATTTCATAAATTTTATAAAATCACTTTGCTTTCGCCGATAGTATTTATCACACTTCAACGTCAACTATTATTTTTTAATTGATAAATTCACAAACTGACAGCTTGCAAAATTCGGGTAAAACTTTCCTAAACGAGTCGTATCGATCGTTTTGGAATGCATGACTGAAAGTTTTCCATTTAAAACTGTAATATATTGGAAATATGTAAACTGTTTCCCACGGATAAAATAAATTTCGAACCTCTGGTTCGATATTGGAATATTAGAAGCAAACGGTATCAATGATTACCGCAGAGCGTGCAGAAAATAATATTGAAAAAATTGTTTGATGATCGAATTTCGATTTTCGCCATGAGTTAAGCGGGATTTTTAATCCAATTTCGCCCGGTAGTGGTAGTTAAGTTCTGTCGTGCATGCAGAATTTATATTAAACCTCCGGCATAATGAGATGAAGCCTTTCCTCTCGCTTACGTAAACTTCATTTTCAAACAATGTATTATATTATTCTTAACTTGCATTAGAACCGCGTAATAACAAAACGAACGAAAATAATCGCATTTCAAATTAAACAGTAATTAAGGGAAACACGCCTGTTTCCAACTTAATAACGAACCAGCCAAGTTCATTGTGTTATGTTCAATTAAAAAACAAAACACTATTATGAAATTATCGCTGTGCCAGAATAGTCGTTAAAGATATGCTTTTTTACCACGTTGTTATGCAGAATTAATTATCGAATAATTTGAACAGCATTACTACGAATAATTATTCAAACAAAATTGCTCGCTTTTATTTAAAAAAAAAACAGTGCTACACAGAAATATATATTTTTACTTGCGAAAAATCGTGAAATAAAATTGTCAAATCTCGACTACGTAATGTAGCGTTAATTAAAAAAAATAATTTCTTTCTGCCGGGTTTAAAGAAAATAATTGTGATTAAAGTAACTGTAACTCGGTTAAGAATTGAAAGTACAATTTAATGCTGGCGATACCGGTTTTCCAGTCCAATTATACTTTAACTGCAAATGGAGCATCGACTTTTCGCTGTCACGCCGGTTTATTTTTATTACAGCCGACTGAAGATACGTTTAAATTGGATTTGTCCAGCCAGCTTGCGAAACGGACATGGACACTTGACGTTTTTACCATGGACAGATACGTACGGGAATCGTTCCATTAGATTAATGAATAATTCTATTTATGTAATGCAATTTTCATCCAGAAAGGGATACCTGACTTAAACGATTAACTTAAACGTAATACAATTATTTGGACACCTGGGAACAAAATTTCCCCTGTACACTGATTACGTGTCACGTGACATTTTCGAACAAAGTATCTTTCACCGTAACAAAATTTTCGCCAACTCATAAACAGTAATTCAACGAAAATATAATTTTGCATTTCATGAAAATCGATGAAATAAATAAATCTTACGTAACTTAAATCACTAATTAGTAACTTTTCTTAGAAAGTAATTTTTATTTCGCATCCAAGATGAAACAGGGTACTTCACGGTGACATTTTGGAAAAATAGAACGACCCAAAGTATCTTTCGCTGCAATCAAATTTTCGCTAACTCATAAATAGTTATTTAACGAAAACATAATTCTGTCTTAAATAAAACATCCAATACGTACATCATAAATAAATAGAACGTTAACATAACCTCAGCAGAAGCATTTTACGAGAATCAACGAAATAAACAAATCTTACGTAATTTAAATCGCTAATTTAACAGGTAAAACACCTATGAAATAGAAAGTAACTTTTATTTCGTACCCGGGATGAATGAGAAATCGTTTCGAGTACTTCACGAGCGATTAAATAACACATTTCTAAATCCGTCTGCGAGCGCGTGAATAAATGAGGTGGAAATAAGTGTCGATTGATCTTGCGACACTGTAAATTGAATTCTCATGCGCTGAATCGCAGCGACTTCTGAATTCACAATAAGCCACAACGTCCACGACGGTGTTCCCATGATGCATCGGCCGCTATGCATAACCAAATTAGCCAATCAAGGAAACAATAGTGCAAGTTACGTGGACCACACGTAGGACGTGATTGGTCGATTTGCTCGTAACGCATGCGTATGCAAATAGGTGAAAAGCCTTGCACAAATCCTCTTATCCCTGAGGAATTATTGTCAGTATTCACAATTTAGTATGCAGGTCAGAACGCTTATTAAGTAGACGCGTTACCGTATCTAACAGTTAACTGGAAGTCACGTTGTACGATGTGAATGAATGGTCACCTGACAAAATGTGTTACTCCGCCGTGAAATTACTTTCACGGATTATCTCTCTGCGCGTAATAAAATCTGAGAATTGCATAAATTAA